GTACACGTGGTACATTAGAGTTTGCTATTTGAGGTACTGGACAGGTTTTTTCTAAAATATTAGAATTTTAAAAGATATTCTTGTATATGATATGTACTAAATTAAATATCTTGGGCATACACTGTATAAGTACTTTTTTCTGCGGGAACTTTATTTCTTGTAAACCTACTAATATGCATAGTAGTAAAATGTGAATTTAAAACATCGTTCTAGATAAAAAAAAAAGACATGTAGAAAATTGATATTTAATGCAATTTTCATGTTTCATGCTTAAATTTTAATCCATGATATCCGTCTTGCATTTCGTTTCGGTAAGGCTGGTAGTTAAAATGGATGTAATTTGTATGTTCTTGTTATACTATATATATAAATATTGTTATTATTGTACTAAATTCATGCAAGGGTTATCTTTCTTTTTACGAGAAAGATAACATATTACTACATGTATCTCAATGTATATATATATATATATACAAATTCTGATTGTAATTTAAGGAGAAAATAATGTTTTTCAGATTACTAGTCTTAACAAATTTATATTAAAGTCATACTTTAAATGATATGAAATGAAATTATTAAGAATATTAAGATTTCTTATGTCATGCTTGACCTTCTCCAATGAAAAGTTTATGTAAATCTAATATTAATTTTGTTCGCTGTATTATGCACATAAATCATGCTCACTTTGTATTGTACATGTATATATGTATGCTTGTATTGCCATCATGGGCGAATAGCCTTATGGAATAAATGAAATAAACTCTAAAAAAAAACTCTTTCTGCTATTTCTGCGGTTCGTAACGACACCGCAAATTTAAAAACCGCAGAAAATTAAGCCTTCCCATATGTCTATGTCGGAATATGTCAACTACCGGTACTGTATAAGAACATTACCCTGTACTGTTATCGGCTTTAAAAGATATGTTTCTTTATGTATCTGTCATGAATAAAATATTAGAAAAAAAAGTAAATTTACTTGTTCTTTCTGTTTAAATAAATATCATGTTTGTATGATTTTCGCTCACACTAAGCTTGATTTTTTGTGTGAAATAAAACTATAATAGTGTGACGGGTGCAATAAACATACCCTTTTGTATTTGTACAATATTTTGTGTTTACGTGCAATTTTACCATTGTTTATTTTTCACACTACATATTTATAATACACATGCAGTATTACAATTAATTGTTGTCATTGCACGTTGTTCAATTCAATTCAAATATCTTTATTCACCCAGGTATTAATAAAATACATAAGGGGTTTACAAAATAATATTTTACAATATATATATATGTTCCGGTTGTAAAGTCCTGAAAAGATAATACAATATTAATAGTCATTTAGTTATTTTTAAACAGAATGTAAAAAATAATATACATTTTTAATGTTTTAAAGAAAGAAATGGGGGTTCAAGTGAGGATATATTAGCACCTTATATAACATAAATACTGGGAAGTACACAATGCCTTATTGCACGCTCTAGTAATTTTATTTACTACGCCGGGTTTTTTTTGTGTGTGAATGAATGCCTCGTGCAAATTGTTCTTGTCGCGCAGTAATTCGGTTCAGACAACACATGTGTAACCTTGTCAATTCCCCCCCCCCCCCCCAAAAAAAAAAAAAAAATAAATAAATTCGCATGTTTCACAGGCAATTGGAATAAATATTCACCGGATTTATTAGGATTTACGCAATAAGGTACCGTTTACCCCGTAAAAGTTAATATAATGTAATGTGTAATTCAGTAATGAGTAATTTTATAATGCATAAGTGCCGTCGAGGGTACGGGACCTCTTCGAAATTCTTTACTTTTCAAATTTGAAATGCTTTAACAAGATCGACGTACTCACGGCGGGACTTATCTAGCGTATTTCAGGACATGCATATCAAATGACACATTTAACACAATCATTTTTTTTTTCAACATTAATACAATAATAACAGATGAATTTATGTTTTCAATGGCTATACTTTTAATGTCTGCGGAACTCACCTAACGCACATGCTTGAGCAATATTGATAAGAATTTACAGAGTATCTTAAGATCATTTTCCGACTGTATGTTGACAATTCGTTTAAAGTTAAGATCATTATTTTCAAGGCAGAAAGTTTGTAAAATGTTTTGTCTTTGTTCTTCGAATTTTTCGCAACGTAATAAATAGTGTTTGCTATTGCCAATAGCGTTTTCTGAACAAAGTACGCATCGCCTATTTTCTGGAGACGTCCCGTCCCAGCGTCCCGTTTCTTCTGGAAAATGCGTGTTATTTGTTCGAAATTTAAACATTATTTCCCGTTCATACTTTGGTAAACGTATTAGATATTTTTCAATACTATGGGTTTCTTTATAGACTGCATAAGTTCTACCCTTATTAGATGACTGGAGTTGTGTGTTCCATTCCTGATAATACTGATCGATAAGGATTTGTTTTAAGAGAATTTCCAAAGATTGGGGTATTTAGGGCAGGTTGAAGTAACCACACATCTGCTCTACCACTAGATTCAAGTATAGTTTTAATATGTCTCAGCCATTTAAAATCTTTTTCTGGTTGTTTAAGCATATATTGATAAATTTTGTAAGATAACTTTGAGACTTTCCCCAGTAACTAACCTATTCCAGAACGAAATCATCCTATTTTTAATCATAATTGATATCGGTATTACTCCAGTCTCGCCAAATAACATATATTTAGGTGTTGATTTACGAGCACTAGTAATTTTTCTAAGAAACTCGCACTGAACTTTTTCAATAATTTCTAAAGATTCATAGCCAAAAATTTCTGATCCATACATAAGAATTGGGAGAACAGTATGGTCAAAAAGCTTAAGAATTAAATCAAATGGTAAACTTGAATTATTTACCTTTGTTAAAAGAAGGTATAGGCCCTTTTTTGCTTGTTGGACGATGTGTTTACGAGCTTGTAAAAAAGAACCATTACTAGAGAAAGTTATTCCGAGGTATAAATATTTTTCCGTTATTTCTAAATTTGATTCGCCTATATGAAATTGGAAATTTCTTACATTTCTTGCGCCGAATATCACTACCTTTGTTTTGTTTGTGTTAATATTTAAATGCCATTGTTCGCAGAATTGATTAAAGTGTAGTAGTGTATTTTGGAAATCAATTTTTGAATTGGATATAATCACTGTATCATCGGCATAGAGTAAAACTAGCAGCGTCGAGTGTATCTGTTAACTCTATCCCTACTGATCCTTTTGATTCTAAATATTCTTGTAAATCATTTAAAAAGATGGAAAATAAAACCGGACTTAAATTTTCACCCTGTCTGACGCCTGTATTTGAACAGAAACAATCAGAAAATTCTCCTAAATGCGTTATTCTTGATTTTATATTTTGGTACATATTAAAAATGACATTAAATATTTTCCCATTTATATTCGTTTTGATTAGTTTTTGCCATAAACCTATTCTCCATACTTTATCAAATGCAGAAGAAAAATCAACATATGCACAGAACAGTTTCTGTTTCTTTTTCTTTAGAATTTCAATGAGAGCATGTAATGTGAATATGGTCTGAGCAGCTGTAGTATTTTCTAAAACCAGCCTGGTTTTCATGAAGAAGGTTATTTGATTCTAAATATAACGTTATTCTATTATTTGATACAGAAGTAAATAATTTTCCAAGTGTACTTAAAATAGTTATTGGGCGATAGCATTCCGGTTTCTTCGAATCGCCCTTATTTTTATATATTGGTATAATATACCCTTCTAACCAGGAGTTAGGGATAAAACCAGTATCTAAAATTACATCGAAAAGTTTAGTGTAAATAGGCAATAAAAGGTCTTGAGTATATTTTATATACTCGTTTAAAATATTATCGGAGGGACTTGCTGCCTTTCCATTATTCAAATTTTTAATACATTTTAAAATTTTGTCTGCGCAAATTTCCTTATTTAAAAAGTAGTTCGCATTAGGATTGTTTACATATTCGCTCGGGTCGAATTCATTATTGTCAGTGTCCGAGTTGTTTATATTCTTGAAATAATCGTAAAATTCCGATACGGTTGGTGACTCATGCGCTTTCGAGTCATGTTTAAGGCCGTTCAAATATTTCCAATATTGCTTTGGGTTGTTGATTTTTGTTTATTAATGTTTATATACCGTTACATGATGATTATGACGAAACACATTATAAGTCGTCTGCATGTTTACCGGAAATATTGTACATGTTAAATCAACAAATCTTGAAATGTTGTCTGTTTGTATGGGTTAATTTTGAAAAATATCTAAATTAAAACGCAGAAATAAAACTCATCAATGCGAGAATGATGACACGGCAGAAATAAGATAATTAGATATGCAGAAATTTAAAACCCCTTATTTAACAAAAATCACAGAATATTAAACCCGCAGAAATAAGTACTTATACGGTATGCTATTGTTATATAAAGATATATTGGCAGAATGACAACTGTATTATAACACTCATTATTTCATATATTCTGAGAAATTTGAAAAAGGAGACATTTTAACAAGATAATTAATGAGTTATTTGCCTTTGAATTTGAAAATTTTACTATTTTCAAGGACAAATAATTTAAAATTTACATTATAACTGTAATCAGAAAAAATAGTGCCTCTTTTTTTAATGGTTTTTAGCTTAAGTATAGTGGGTTCATCTCTGTTAAATCAACTCATAAAATATTTCTTTATACTGTAAAATATTGATATGAGGGACAAATTGTTTGGTTTAAAATGATATAATCATGACAAAAAAACAACAACAATAAAAAACTAAAATTTTCTACATACTTTGACAAGTTGGAGGATTATCAATATGAGTCCATCCTTGTGAATCACAATGTGATAACTTTGGTCCCAACAGTTCATATCCTTCATTACATGAGAATTCTACAACTGTATCAAAGTCAGCATTGTTGTTGGTAAATTCATTACCTCGTATGATCTCATATTTTCCATTAGTTAGCATATTTTGACTCAATGCTGAACATTGGGAGGCTGAAAATAAATTATGTATCGATTTTATTTGACTTTTTGAAGTCTCACAAACTTATTTTTGTATACAATAAATAAATCTTGTTAGTTATTATATAATATTATAAAACAAAAAAGATAACAAAGACAAGAAAACTACTAACATAAAAATACTCTGATATAATTTCTATCTTCTAACACATGAAAACTTTGATGTTATAACATGATATAATCTATATCTCTTAACACATGAAAACTTTGATGTTATAACATGATAGAATCTCTATCTTCTAACACATGAACACTTTGATGTTATAACATGATATAATCTCTATCGTCTAACACATAAAATCTCTGATGTTATAACATGATAGAATCTCAATCTTCTTACACATGCAAAACTTTGATGTTATAATATGAAAGAATCTCTATCTTCTAACACATGAAACTTTTGATGTTATAACATGATATAATCTATATCTCTTAACACATGAAAACTTTGATGTTATAACATGATAGAATCTCTATCTTCTAACACATGAACACTTTCATGTTATAACATGATATAATCTCTATCTTCTAACACATGAAAACTTTGATGTTATAACATGATAGAAAATTATATCTTCTAACACATAAAAACTTTGATTTTATAACATGATAGAATCTCTATTTTCTTACACATGAAACTTTTGATGTTATAACATGATATAATCTATATATCTTAACACATGAAAACTTTGATGTTATAACATAATAGAATCTCTATCTTCTAACACATGAACACTTTGATGTTATAACATGATATAATCTCTATCTTCTAACACATGGAAACTTTGATGTTATAACATGATAGAAAATTATATCTTCTAACACATGAAAACTTTGATGTTATAACATGATAGAATCTCTATTTTCTTACACATGAAACTTTTGATGTTATAACATGATAGAATCTATATCTTCTAACACATGAAACTTTTGATGTTATAACATGATAGAATCTATATCTTCTAACACATGAAACTTTTGATGCTATAACATCATGATAGAATCTATATCTTCTAACACATGAAATTTTTGATGTTATAACATGATATAATCTCTATCGTCTTACACATGAAATCTCTGATGTTATAACATGATAGAATCTCTATCTTCTAACACATGAAAACTTTGATGTTATAACATGATAGAATCTCTATCGTCTAACACATGAAATCTCTGATGTTATAACATGATATAATCTCTATCTTCTAACACATGCAAAACTTTGATGTTATAACATGATAGAATCTCCATCTTCTAACACATGAAAACTTTGATGTTATAACATGATAGAATCTCTATTTTCTAACACATGAAAACTTTGATTTTATAACATGATAGAATCTCTATTTTCTTACACATGAAACTTTTGATGTTATAACATGATAGAATCTATATCTTCTAACACATGAAACTTTTGATGTTATAACATGATAGAATCTATATCTTCTAACACATGAAACTTTTGATGCTATAACATCATGATAGAATCTATATCTTCTAACACATGAAATTTTTGATGTTATAACATGATATAATCTCTATCGTCTTACACATGAAATCTCTGATGTTATAACATGATAGAATCTCTATCTTCTAACACATGAAAACTTTGATGTTATAACATGATAGAATCTCTATCGTCTAACACATGAAATCTCTGATGTTATAACATGATATAATCTCTATCTTCTAACACATGCAAAACTTTGATGTTATAACATGATAGAATCTCCATCTTCTAACACATGAAAACTTTGATGTTATAACATGATAGAAAATTATATCTTCTAACACATGAAAACTTTGATGTTATAACATGAAAGAATCTATATCTTCTAACACATGCAAAACTTCGATGTTATAACATGATAGAATCTATATCTTCTTACACATGAAACTTTTGATGTTATAACATGATAGAATCTCTATCTTCTAACACATGAAACTTTTGATGTTATAACATGATAGAATCTCTATCTTCTAACACATGAAATCTCTGATGTTATAACATGATAGAATCTATATCTTCTAACACATGAAAACCTTGATGTTATAACATGATAGAATCTATATATTCTAACACATGAAACTTTTGATGTTATAACATAATAGAATCTTTATTTTCTAACACATGAAATCTCTGATGTTATAACATGATATAATCTCTATCTTCTAACAAATGAAAACTTTGATGTTATAACATGATAGAATCTCTATCTTCTAACACATGAAAACTTTGATTTTATAACATGATAGAATCACTATTTTCTTACACATGACACTTTTGATGTTATAACATGATAGAATCTATATCTTCTAACACATCAAACTTTTGATGTTATAACATGATAGAATCTATATCTTCTAACACATGAAACTTTTGATGTTATAACATCATGATAGAATCTATATCTTCTAACACATGAAACTTTTGATGTTATAACATGATATAATCTCTATCGTCTTACACATGAAATCTCTGATGTTATAACATGATATAATCTCTATCGTCTTACACATGCAAAACTGTGATGTTATAACATGATAGAATCTCTATCATCTAACACATGAACACTTTGATGTTATAACATGATAGAATCTCTATCGTCTAACACATGAAATCTCTGATGTTATAACATCATGATAGAATCTCTATCTTCTAACACATGAACACTTTGATGTTATAACATGATAGAATCTCTATCGTCTAACACATGAAATCTCTGATGTTATAACATGATATAATCTCCATCTTCTAACACATGAAAACTTTGATGTTATAACATGATAGAAAATTATATCTTCTAACACATGAAAACTTTGATGTTATAACATGATAGAATCTATATCTTCTAACACATGCAAAACTTCGATGTTATAACATGATAGAATCTCTATCGTCTAACACATGAAATCTCTGATGTTATAACATGATATAATCTCCATCTTCTAACACATGAAAACTTTGATGTTATAACATGATAGAAAATTATATCTTCTAACACATGAAAACTTTGATGTTATAACATGATAGAATCTATATCTTCTAACACATGCAAAACTTCGATGTTATAACATGATAGAATCTATATCTTCTTACACATGAAACTTTTGATGTTATAACATGATAGAATCTCTATCTTCTTACACATGAAACTTTTGATGTTATAACATTATAGAATCTCTATCTTCTAACACATGAAATCTCTGATGTTATAACATGATAGAATATCTATCTTCTAACACATGAAAAGTTTGATTTTATAACATGATATAATCTCTATTTTCTAACACATGAAACTTTTGATGTTATAACATGAAAGAATCTATATCTTCTAACACATGAAACTTTTGATGTTATAACATGATAGAATCTATATCTTCTAACACATGAAAACCTTGATGTTATAACATGATAGAATCTATATATTCTAACACATGAAACTTTTGATGTTATAACATCATGATAGAATCTATATCTCCAAACACATGAAACTTTTGATGTTATAACATGATATAATCTCTATCGTCTAACACATGAAATCTCTGATGTTATAACATGATAGAATCTCTATCTTCTAACACATGAAAACTTTGATGTTATAACATGATAGAATCTCTATCTTCTAACACATGAAAACTTTGATGTTATAACATGATAGAATCTCTATCATCTAACACATGAACACTTTGATGTTATAACATGATATAATCTCTATCGTCTAACACATGAAATCTCTGATGTTATAACATGATAGAATCTCTATCTTCTAACACATGCAAAACTTTGATGTTATAACATGATAGAATCTCCATCTTCTAACACATGAAAACTTTGATGTTATAACATGATAGAAAATTATATATTCTAACACATGAAAACTTTGATGTTATAACATGATAGAATCTATATCTTCTTACACATGAAACTTTTGATGTTATAACATGATAAAATCTCTATCTTCTAACACATGAAACTTTTGATGTTATAACATGATAGAATCTCTATCTTCTAACACATGAAAACTCTAATGTTATAACATAATAAAATCTCTATCTATTGCTTTTCATTGGATAATCGTGACGTTTATATAGTTTTATATACAAGCTGCTATCGATTTAGAAAGAAATCTCGCTTTATTCCTGTAAAAATGATGCTTGCTGTATTATAAATTTGTTACAAATATTTCTGACAGATTATATGGCCGTATATAAACGGTTGTATTTACAAACAAGCATTTATATAGGGCCATATATATAACCTGTCAAAAATCTTTATAACTAAGACTACTTCTCTTATACCACTAATGCAATTTCAATGAAACTTTACAGGATTGATCTGTAGCTCAAGTCCTTGCGCATATTGCACGGGTTTTCCGGTTGAATGATTTTTGGCCGAGTTATGGCCCTTTGATAAAAAGGTGTTTTTTTTCTGTGTGTTGCCAGAAACACAAAAGCTTGTCCGGACTACTCCTCATAAACTACTGGTGCAATTTCATCCAAACTTTACAGGAATGATCAGTACCAAGTCTAGTTGTGCATATTGTCAGCATTTTTCGGTTCAATGATTTTTGTCAGAGTTATGTCCCTTTAATAATTTTTATTTTTAAAGTTTGTCCGGATTACTTCTCTTATACCACTAATGCAATTTCAATGAAACTTTACAGGATTGATCTGTAGCTCAAGTCCTTTCGCATATTGCACGGGTTTTCCGGTTGAATGATTTTTGGCCGAGTTATGGCCCTTTGATAAAAAGGTGTTTTTTTTCTGTGTGTTGCCAGATACGCAAAAGCTTGTCCGGACTACTCCTCATATACTACTGGTGCAATTTTATCCAATCTTTACAGGAATGATCAGTACCAAGTCTAGTTGTGCACAGTCCGTCTGTCTGTCCGTCTGTCAAAAAATTTGTCCCAATATGAAATTGGCAATCATGAGGCGACACATGTGATTACTGATCGCTCTTGTGTAAGAAAGATGTATTTAAGATTTATTAACCTTAAATAATTTGTGTAATAACATTTATTTTCAGCTGCAAGTAGGAAGGCAAACCTAAAACTGTTGTTAATGGTTACTGTTGTTACAGTCAAACTGTGATCAAATGACACCCAAGGGAGAGACAAATAATGGTCTTAATGCACAAGTGGCCTTTATTTGGAGGTTAGTTTATTCAATTATATCAATAAGGGTTATCAAAAATTACTCATAGTATTTGAACAATTAGATGATTGGTGGTTTGATTTGTGAATTGTCAGGTCTGGATTGTGGATTATGGAATGCCATCTAGCTGGCAAAACACAGCCCTCCATACTACTTATATGTATTTTTAATTGTATCAGAGCACAAGTATACTAGCATATACATAGCAACAATTAATATACATGCCAAAAGAAAGAAAAATGCGGCATTTTGAAGACAAAACTAATAATGTATACATTTACTTACAAGTACATGTTGGTACATTTTTCCAATTGCCATCCTCTCCACATGTAGCATTTATATTCAGTGGGTTCTTTGTAAATCCTTCATTACAGAAATATTTAGCAGCTTTGTTGTATGTAACCCCAGTTACTAACTCAATTCCACCATTCTGAATCTTATCAGGGGGTCCACAGTAAATCTCTGCAAAAATCAATTTCATTCTTTAAATCATATTTATACTTACAAAGCCTGTATTATCATGATAACTTATAAAGTATTCAATTTTCATTTTTACCATTACTTATTTTCATAGTTTTAAAAATCAATTTAAATAAGCATGATTTAACTAATATAACATTTAAGAAATCATCTGATATTTTATTTACCTTGACATTCAGGTATAGCTCCTGGATTTTCACCACCTATTGTCCACATGCCGGGACCTTTTGGGTCTGCATAATATGTCGGGTCACATTGAAGAGTAACTTTTTCAGAGTTACGGTATTTCTCCATGTGGAATTTATAACCAGTTGGACATTCAAGTTCAACATTTTCCTTGTAAAAGGTGTTGTTGGTGCTTTTCTCAGTTTCCTCGGATAAATCTAAATCTTCACAATCTAGAAATAAAAGTTCAGTATCATGATTAATAAATTTTGTCAGCTACAGTATACATGAGGCTCAAGTGGGCCTGTAACGTTTACCTTAAACAATGGACATTTTATCAGGATATATTAATTTCCCTTTAGCTAGGATATGGCTTTGGTAATTTTACAATACATATAATTTTAGTAGTGGTCTACTAGATAATGTTACATACATGTACTAATGAATAAATAAAAGTGGCATACTGTGTGGGTGTAGTTTTACTTTATAAATGTGTGAGTTTAACATAAAAGTGACTATGTCAAAAATGGGAAATCTGAAGGAATGTTACAGCTTTGCTCCCTGAAAATGAAATAAAGTAAAATATTATTTCACTTCTTCATTGTTAATTGTTAAGCAACACTATATTTTATCTATTAACCATTATGACATTTTTTGTGTCTTCAAAAATAAATGACAAAACGACTTTCAAGGGTTAGGGTTAGGTTTAAAACTGATGAAGTAAAATATCTGTAAGCCATACCTGTTCCAAAAGCAATTGTGAAACCTTTTGACATGAAAGCTGAGTTTGATTTGAATTCCACATTGAAATGTCCTCCAGGTGCATGTATAATATTGTCTATATCATTATTATACACATCAAGATATGGTACTTGTTCAGTGCTTTTATCAGCATAGATCTAGAAAAAATAGTAAAATCAGTTGAATTAAACAGTGTATTCTTATCATGGTACTACAAACAGTGTATTCTGATTGTTGAACAAACAGTGTATTCTGATTTTGGTACAAACAGTGTATTCTGATTGAAGTACAAACAGTGTATTCTGATTGTGGTACAAACAGTGTATTCTGATTTAAGTACAAACAGTGTATTCTGATTATGGTACAAACAGTGTATTCTGATTGAAGTACAAACAGTGTATTCTGATTGGGGTTCAAACAGTGTATTCTGATTGTTGAACAAACAGAGTATTCTGATTGTGGTACTAAAAGTGTATTCTGATTGTGGTACAAACAGTGTTTTCTGATTGTGATACAAACAGTGTATTCTGATTGTTTAACAAACTGTGTATTCTGATTGTGGTACTAAATGTGTATTCTGATTGTGGTACAAACAGTGTATTCTGATTGTGGTACTAAAAGTGTATTCTGATTGAAGTACAAACAGTGTATTCTGATTGTGGTACAAACAGTGTATTCTGATTGTGGTACAAACAGTGTATTCTGATTGTGATACTAAAAGTGTATTCTGATTGAAGTACAAACAGTGTATTTTGATTGTGGTACAAACAGTGTATTCTGATTGTTGTACAAACAGTGTATTCTGATTGTGGTACAAACAGTGTATTCTGATTGTGGTACAAACAGTGTATTATGATTGTGGTACAAACAGTGTATTCTGATTGTGGTACAAACAGTGTATTCTGATTGTGGTACTAAAAGTGTATTCTGATTGAAGTACAAACAGTGTTTTCTGATTGTGGTACAAACAGTGTATTCTGATTGTGGTACAAACAGTGTATTCTGATTGTTGAACAAACAGTGTATTCTGATTGTGGTACAGACAGTGTATTCTGATTGTGGTACAAACAGTGTATTTCTGATTGTGGTACAAACAGTGTATTCTGATTGTGGTACAAACAGTGTATTCTGATTGTGGTACAAACAGTGTATTCTGATTGTGGTACAAACAGTGTATTCTGATTGTGGTACAAACAGTGTATTCTGATTGTGGTACAAACAGTGTATTCTGATTGTGGTACAAACAGTGTATTCTGATTGTGGTACAAACAGTGTATTCTGATTGTGATTCAAACAGTGTATTCTGATTCTGGTACAAACAGTGTATTCTGCTTGTGGTTCAAACAGTGTATTCTGATTGTGGAACAAACAGTGTATTCTGATTGTGGTAGAAAAAGTGTATTCTGATTGTGGTACGAACAGTGTATTCTGATTGTGGTACAAACAGTGCATTCTGGTTATGGTACAAACAGTGCATTCTGATTGTGGTACAAACAGTGTATTCTGATTGTGGTACAAACAGTGCATTCTGATTGTGGTACAAACAGTGTATTCTGATTATGGTACAAACAGTGTATTCTGATTGTGGTACACACAGTGTATTCTGATTATGGTACAAACAGTGTATTCTGATTGTGGTAGAAAAAGTGTATTCTGATTGTGATACAAACAGTGTATTCTGATTGTGGTACAAACAGTGTATTCTGATTGTGGTACATAGAAAACATTTTAAACAGTCATTAAGATGTAACTTCTATGTAGATTTCACACTATGCATGTTCTTACTTCTTCTAGAATACCATTATCTTATAAAAAAATAAAATGACCATTTTCTGGAATAATGTATAATATTATAGATATCATTATTATACAGAGCAATTTCTCGTATTTGTTTAGTGCTATGGTCAGCATAGACCTAGAAAACACATAAAAACAGTGTATTCTGATGGTGGTACTCGCAACATAGTAAATGACAAGACATGGAAAGGTGTCCATTGGACACGGGTGTTCCCATACTCCACTGTTTTGTCAATCTTATGACTTAAGATCAAATATTTTTTAGGCTACATGTGCCGAGGTGCATTATTACATGGCTGACCAACATTCCTGAAAACAGGTGCACAACTCAACTACACATGCTGATCAAGATTTCTGTAAAGTTTCATGACTCTAGGTCAAATACTTTTTGAGCTACATGTGACACAAGTTGAAAATTGCAAACATTTACTAAGTCAAGGGCAAGATCTTTACAAATACTGAATAAATCCACAAGCAACCCCCAAGGTGCATAAGTACATAGCTGACCAACATTCTTGCAAACTTTAAGACCTACAGGTCAAATATTTTTCAAGTTATGCATGAACATGTTGAAAATTGTAAATTTTTACTAAGTCAAGGGCAATAACTCTAAAAATGCAGATGCACTACTTCACATGCTAATCAACATTTCTATAAAGTTCGATGACACTAGGTCAAATACTTTTCGTGCGATTTTTTTAGCTGAAATACTAAATATAGCCACACAAAAAATACCCAGGTGCGCAACTACACATGCTTATCAGCATTCCTGTAAATTTTCATGGCACTGGATCAAATACTCTTTGAGTTACATGCAACACAAGTTGAAAATTGTATATTTTTACTAAGTCAGGGGCAATAACTCTAAAAATATCCATACAACAATAACCAGGTGCACAACTTCACATGCTGATCAACATTTCTGTGAGTTTCATGACACTAAGTCAAATACTTTTTGAGCTACGTGCGACACAAGTTGAAATTGTAAATTTTTTACTAAGTCAAGGGCAATAACTCAACTAAATAATTATATCCACACGAAAATACCCTGGTGCACAACAACACATGCTGATCAACATTTCTATAAAGAATCATGACTCTAAGTCAATTTGACTCTAAGTCAAATACATTTTGAGCATGTGCGACACAAAAGAGAACGGATGGACGGACAAGGGTTAATCTCAATGCCCCCCCACCCCCTCCCTAAAGTGGGGGCACAAAAATCAAGAGGCCGAGGCCCTTTCCTAAATCAATTAAGAACATCCACTACAAGGAAATCTAAAATATCATACACATTAACTAGCTAAAGTAAAACACATTGCACTTTTTAACAACAAAATTGTTTTGATGTTTAAATCTAAAATCTTTTAATGAATAATAAATTTATCATACTTTCAGAATTTTGAACAATTTATCTCGCAGGGCCATGCCACTTAGATCAACATTATAGTTTTATACGTAGAGGATATGTTTACAAATTGATGGATGTCTGTATGCAGGGCATGGACAGAAAGGAGGGAAAATTACTCTTCAACTAACAATAAATGTTACAGCACAGAAATTTTGAGCACACTGAACTTATTCCATACACAAAAGAAGAATAAAAAAATCAAATAATTTTCTATTGTTAAACATGAAGTAAAACACCTTACCATAAATTTATCTTCTGATCGAGTAGTTGGATTGATTCTAGAATCCTGTGCCAGATTCAGAGTAAGAAATTTTAGAACCATTCCTCTGGATGCTTTTTCCCCAGCATCAAGTGTCCATGTACACATGAGGTCATTGGGTACAGGATGAGGAGAAACTATAACACCATATGTGTCCACTATTTCCACTCCACACCCTTCAGAAATCAGACCAAAGAAGTTAAAATGAAATAAATATGAAACAAGAATTAAAGAATTATTTATCATTATAAATTTGTTTTGAACAAAATAATTGGCATAATATTTTATGAAGGTCTTAAATAATTCTATTATAATGAGACAGATAAAATTAATAAAAAAAACTGAAATGTACCTAACATATAATCATCTGATATATATCTATAATCATTTATCCAGACAATCCTAAAACATTGAACACATCTAGGCAAGTATGATCATTTGTTCAATAGCCAAATCCAGTTTAGCATAATCATTCCATCAATGTACAGATCCTGGCCAGCATAATCATTTCATCAATGTACAGATCCTGGCCAGCATAATCATTCCATCAATGAACAGATCCTGGCCAGCATAATCATTCCATCAATGTACAGATCCTGGCCAGCATAATCATTTCATCAATGAACAGATCCAGGCTGGCATAATCATTTCTTCAATGTACAGATCCTGGCCAGCATAATCATTTCATCAATGTACAGATCCTGGCCAGCATAATCATTTCATCAATGTACAGATCCTGGCCAGCATAATCATTTCATCAATGTACAGATCCTGGCCAGCATAATCATTTCATCAATGTACAATTCCTGGCCAGCATAATCATTTCATCAATGTACAGATCCTGGCCAGCATAATCATTTCATCAATGTACAGATCCTGGCCAGCATAATCATTTCATCAATGTACAGATTTCCTGCCAGCATAATCATTTCATCAATGTACAGATCCTGGCCAGCATAATCATTTCATCAATGTACAGATCCTGGCCAGCATAATCATTTCATCAATGTACAGATCCTGGCCAGCATAATCATTTCATCAATGTACAGATCCTGGCCAGCATAATCATTTCATCAATGTACAGATCCTGGCCAGCATAATCATTTCCTCAATGTACAGATCCTGGCCAGCATAATCATTTCATCAATGTACAGATCCTGGCCAGCATAATCATTTCATCAATGTACAGATCCTGGCCAGCATAATCATTTCATCAATGTACAATTCCTGGCCAGCATAATCATTTCATCAGTGTACAGATCCTGGCCAGCATTATCATTTCATCAATGTACAGATCCTGGCCAGCATTATTATTCATCAATTAACAGATCCTGGCCAGCATGCATAATCATTGCATCCGGGTCAGCATAATCAATTGCTCAGTCTGCAGATTAAGGCAGGCATGCTCATTTTTCAATCTACAGATAAAGGCCAGCATAAACATCAGTGACATGCATATATCCAAGTCAGCATAAACATGCAAAGATCTAAGCCAGCATAAACATCAGTGACATGCACAGATCCATGCCAACATAAACATCAGTGACATGCATATATCCAAGTCAGCATAAACATGCAAAGATCTAAGCCAGCATAAACATCAGTGACATGTTTATATCCAGACCAGCCTAAACATCAGTGCCATGCACTTATACATGATTTTTACTTTTATTAAATTAGAGAATAATACATATGTTTACTTTATCCACCACCTTTGCTTTGTAAAGGTGTTTAGATAAACAAGCATGTGTCAGTCCAAAAATGTTGTCAGGCTTATACAAGCGACGCTCTGATTGGTCCATCTGATGATCATAAGTCAGAAGCGTTTACAACTCTCCACGCAGCATCACCGATTAATAATCGCTCATGACTAAATACTTTTTTGGTAAAGTTGATTTTCCTTTGATCTTTCAAAATAGTGAAATGGGGATACAGTGCAGATAATTTGTGCCGACTCCCTCGCAATAAGCCCTGAACATTTTTTATTTGTACATGTATTATAATTTATAAATAAAAAGAAAGTAATCATTTGCCAGTTAAATATACCGAGTATAGTACTAGTACCACCGCTTAAACTGTATTGTTTTGGTTTTTAGCAATTGTGTAAAAATTGTAACTTGGGAGCCTGTAACCCCCAAATAAAGGTGGCAATTTGTTCATTCATATTCGTAGAATAATATTTGTTAATAATTTTTATTATACACAATTTTGAACTGACCTATTTTGTATGTCAAAGTTACATGGCCATTGACAGGGACGTAGTAAGACATCAATTTTACTTCATTAGTTGTTGATGTATAATAATGGCGGTAAGTTAGAGAGTCTTCTATTCCGTCAACATTTAATTCATACTTTACTTCATCCACAGAAAACCCTGATTTAGGGGTAACTTGCACCTTTAAGCAGAAATAATATAATAACATCAATTTAATCAATCAAAGCGAAACTTGAGAGGCATTTATAGGGTTTCATTATTAGCTTGCTGTAGGAAACAAATGTAGGTGTAGGACAAAAGCCCTCCCGGACAAAAGCCCTCCCGTCAGAAAGTGACAAGGCGGACAAAAGCCCTCCCGTAAAAATAACAAGGCGGACAAAAGCCCTCCCGTGAAAATGACAGGGCGGACAAAAGCCCTCTCTTAAAAATGACTTGGCGGACAAAAGCCCTCCTGTGAAAATAATAGGGCGGACAAAAGCCCTCCCGCAGCAAATACATATGTACTTTGAATAGTTTATATTTTTCAATGCACTCAACATATTAAAATTGTAATCATGAATATTTTTGTTTTCCATTGGCATTAACAGTGTTTGTATGAGCTTGAGCACATTCCTGAGAGGCATCTGCATAATTAGTACTAAAGTCTGTAAGTGCATATTTATTCACGTAGATATGAATATTTACTCCTATATGAAGTTAAGATTAATAGAGAAATAAATGACGAAAAGAAGTTAAAATTACCTAACTTAAAAGTTAAAGACATTTATAATGTGCCTTGTAATGTGTCAATTACTTTTAAAAGTAACTTTGATTTTAACGACATTCGTGTAAAAAGTTACCTCGTTAAACATTTCAGGAAGGTATGTTCAGAATAAAAGGTGATTCTAGCTCAAACACATACTTAGGCCAGTTGAAAATAACAATAAATATATGTAACAATTTTAATATGACTGTTGAGTGCATTGAAAAAAACACAGGTATTTATCTTTGTTACGGGAGGGCTTTTGTCCGCCTTGTTAATTTCACGGGAGGGCTTTTGTCCGCCCTGTTATTTTCACGGGAGGGCTTTTGTCCGCCCTGTCATTTTCATGGGAGGGCTTTTGTCCGCCTTGTCATTTTTTGACGGGAGGGCTTTTGTCCGGGGGGGGGGGGGCTTTTGTCCGTTTCCCAAATTTACTCTCTTTATTACGGGTTGTTACTGATTTTTCTTATATGATAAAATACTAGTAGTGCCTAAAACAAGTATCAATGTGATTTAACTTATACAGTACACGTATTCATCATCTGTTCAAAATATGCAAAATATATTTATAATAGTGTATTGCGCTACATCTTATAGTACATAGACACAAGGATGAAATACATACAAAATAGGTTATCACATTTCCCTCGTTTGCATTAATTTGCCAACTCAGCTTCAGATTTTTTGGTGTATACTCCTCATTAGTAAATGGCATACTGATACTTTTCCAATTATTAATTGCCGTTTCTTGTTTTGTTCCCGCTGGTATTGATGGTATTTCTACAAAAAAAAAATAATTTTTCGTGTTTTTCTAATTTTTCTTCATTTTTATAAAAATATATATATTTTTGATTCAATCTTTCAACTCTATCTAAAATGAATAAATCAGGTATGGCAAAATAAATGAAACACTGCTTTACTTATTTGAAACATATAATTAATTGAAACATATAATTTAAAATTTTAAATTTTGAAACAGGTGCTGTATTGCTTTTACTATAATACTGTGAAAAATCATCACAATTAAATATGATTTAATATTTTCCATGCCGACATTTATGCCAAACAAAACCGCATACATCAGTGCTTTAGCATACCTGTAATCCATCCGAAACTGTATGTTCCCACATTTCTACTTAAATCACTAGCAGCATAAAATCTAATGGAAAGGTAATGGTTTGTTGAGTATAGATATTTGCTGCTGACACTGCCAGTAAAACGTCCCAACATCTCGGAATATTGAAATAAGAAGCTACCAGTCCAAATCTCTAAAAATACGACATTTTCTTCAAGATTCATCTGTGGTATCTGTATATGGGGAAAAGAAATGTAAATAATGTATAATATGTCAACTGTGATGAACATCTAGAAAATATGTTTGTAATATTGTCATACAATATTTTATATTATAATTTTATATACCTGACTGTGTCACAAAGAAATGCAAATATACTGAATGTAAATTAATAATTAAGCTGAGGTATCTGTTTGTGAAAACATAAATAATGTAAATAAAGTTTAGTATGTCATCCGTGATGAACTTCTAGAAAATATGTTTATAGCATTGAGATAGAAAATTTTATATTATACATGTATTTTAATTTTATAAATTTGGCTCATTGTGTGACAAAGAAATGTAAATGTTCTGAACGTAAACCAATGATTTCGCCAAATCATTTTAAAATTATATTTCTAATTACAAAGCCATTGTACAGATAAACATTTTTTAAACTCATGACCTATAACCTCTTGGTGAAACATTGACATTATAACAATCCACACGGCTGTATGATAAAATGTCTTATATTAATATTGTCAATATTTGTGCCAAGTTATTTCAAAGTAACTAATCAGACATAAATACATATGGCATATTGTTTTGATAGTTTAGATAAATTGTTTACATTGATCCTTTAAAAGTTACGTTGACACATAGATAACATACATAGAGTTTGACACACTAATTTACCAAGTTTCACAATATCTGTCTAAAGCTATTCCAAAATTCCCATTTTTAATCAAGAGATGCAACACTTACATAAAGTCTGATTCTTTTTCCTACTCCGGCTTCTAAGACCCATGTTTGTTCTTCAAAATCAGACATAGGCTGAGTCTGGACACTTCCAGTAGTTTCAGATAAGGTAAGATACCAAGTTCCAAGAGGTGCTGAAATAACAGCAATATTTGTTTATAATAATATATGAATAATCAGTATCAAATAAAGTATAAGAGAAATACATTTCAACATCAGGACAAGCTTATTAATAATGATGCCAATGAGAAGGCCGATGCCAATGACAGGGCTGTTGCAAAGGATAGGGCTGTGATAATAGCTCCATTTTTCTTCTTGGAAAATGATATAAATAAACACCCAAATAAAATCAAAGCTTGAGTGATAGATTAAATGACATAAGTATTTAGAAATAAAGGTTATATATTGATGGTTACTTGACACATGACGATATAGACATGTTTAGTCCTTATCCACATCATAAAATACCTTAAATAGAGTTATCCATCTTTCAATCTGGACAAAACCATTTCCTATTTTTTGGGAAAATGTGAAACATTTAGTGACTGAATATAGCAAACAGTGAATACCATGATCAACAGGGACATCCTTGGTCTGTACTGGTTCATGGGAATAATTAGCTGGCACTTTCCAGCTTATCATTTAACAGAAAATGATGAAAATACTTGAAATTACTCTAAATCGCGTTTTTCCATGTTTAAACATGGCCTGTCATATAAATTTGAAGAAAAATTGTTGTTTTGTAGATTTTTTGATTTTTTTTATTAACCCATTACTTCATGAGCATTTTGTGAAAAATGGCTGTTTTCATTGAAAAGTCTCCCGTTACAAGTTCAAATTGCTATAATACTATAAAAACTGCTTCAACACTAATCAAACTTGGCACAAATGTTGACTGGACCATTGTCCTTGCAACAACATGCTCAGGCTTAAATTTTCTGTTACCATGGCAACGAGGGGACATCTCAAAATTGCCAAAAATCACTATTTTGCGTTGATTTTTTCCATTATAATTGATTTCAAAGTGTTGCAACTTCTCAATGGATTGTGATAGAGTCAAATGCTTTTCAGCGTTGGTTACACGTTACCTTATGATCAATCTGGGGTCATTTATAGCCTCTCACAAGTCCAAAATTTTCTTGGCGATGAGGGGGACTCCGCCCCCCTTCAAACCCCCCAAACTGAAGGGGGCACATCCCCCTTCTGGCAACCCCCTGGTGTATCTTTTGGTTGGGGGGCCGCGCCGAAAAAGTGGTCACTTTTTTTAACAACATTTCTCAACCAAAAATAAGTGTTAAGGGCCTAAATAATGCATTTTTTCACCATTTGAGACAACAAAAAGGGGGGGGGGTGAAAAAGGCGTTAAAAGGCGTGTATATGAAGTAATGGGTTAAAATAATATTTGTATGATTGACTTACGACAATTGTTTTCATCTCTTTCATCTACACATTCAGGTAAACCATTACAGACCTGTTGTGAAGGTATGCATTTCGCATCACAACGCATGTAACCTGAAATTCAGAGGTATATAATATATACATATGATGCAGTGTTATTAGTTATAATGTTTTAAACAGGTTATATATAGCCCGATATAAATTATTGTTTTCATACAAATTGTATCGCAACCAACCATTTATATACGATCATATAACCGGTCAAGATTCTTTTATAACAAATTTATAATACAGGAAATTCCTTTGTTTACAGAAAAATAATTGTTCATAAATTAACAGCAGCCATATATATATAGAGAGAGAAAGAACGAGAGAGCTTGTTTCAATGTGTAGTGCAGTTTGTGACTGTATATAAAGCTGTTCTTAAACCATCATTTTTGTGATGGTGGATGAGCAGTGGCTGTGCTTTCATGACTTTTCTGCTAGGCGCTGTGCCGTAATTGGACTGGCATATCGATGTGGTGGTATGTGTGTATATATTCTCTCATTTCTATAACAATTTATCTGCACACTTGTATCTTTAGTGATCCCACGCAGGGGAAAGTATGACTGTATTGAATTTAATTATCTCCCTTTATATATACTTTATCTGTCTAAATTCATTGTATCCTATGGATATACTTGATCTTACGGGATCCACTGGACTTTCGGAAATAGATATATAGTTCTCTGGTCCCAATCAGTTAAGAAGACAATCAAAATGTCATCGTTGATTTGTGAGACATGATAACAGTGAACAAACTCTATATATGCGAATGTTGAGCTTGTTTCAATATGTAGTTCAGTTTGTGACTGTATATAAAGCTGTTCTGAAACCATCATTGTTTGCTCGCCCATATGGTCTCTTTCCGGTGGCGAGGGTAAACAAACACAAACACACACAATCATTGTTTGTATTCGGGGCCTCCGTGGCCGAGTAGTTAAAGTCGCTGACTTGAGATCACAGGTCCCTCACCACAGTAGGTTCGATCCTCACTCGGGTCGAAATCTTTCATGTGAGGAAGCCATCCAGATGGCTTACGGAAGGTCGGTGGTTCTACCCAGGTGCCCGCTCGTGCCTGAAATAATGCCCGGAGGGGCACCTTGGGTCTTCCTCCACCAATAAAGCTTGGAAAAAAATCGACAAAAAATCTCGGCGGGACGCTCTAGGGTGACCCGATTTGAGTGTACGGTCGCCCATATAGGCTTTCCGGCGACGACCTCTAATAAACGCAATTAAAAAAATCATTTTTGTGATGGTGGATGAGCAGTGGCTGTGCTAGGCGCTGTGCCGTAATCTGACTGGCATATCGATGTATATATTCTCTCATTTCTATAATTTATCTGCACACTTGTATCTTAAGTGATCCCACGCAGGGGAAAGTATGACTGTATTGAATTTAATTATCTCCCTTTATATATACTTTATCTGTCTAAATTCATTGTATCCTATGGATATACTTGATCTTACGGGATCCACTTGACTTTCGGAAATAGATATATAGTTCTCTGGTCCCAATCAGTGAAGAAGACAATCAAAATGTCATTGTTGATTTGTGAGACATGATAACAGTGAACAAACCCTATATATGCGAATGTTGAGCTTGTTTCAATGTGTAGTGCAAATTGTGACTGTATATAAAGCTGTTCTGAAACCATATTTTTTGTGATGGTGGATGAGCAGTGGCTGTGCTTTCATGACTGTTCTGCTAGGCGCTCTGCCGTAATTGGACTGGCATATCGATGTGGTGGTATATATATATATATATATAGTTCAAGATTATCAAATGAAAAGCATTGTTACAAACATGTAGTATTAGTTACAATGTACAGTAAGAGTCATGTTGATACATACTGTATACAATAAGCTAAAGATACATATAGTTGAGTTCATACTAAACTTTCAATCCTTGTGCACTTCTAGTGCACTAGACCATATGACAAAACAGGCCATGGAAGGTGACGCCTAAAGGGTTTATTGCATAACAAGTGACAGGGGTCATCTGTTGTTAGGCAGCTGTTGTAAGAAAAAAAACTTGGGGGATACAAAAATTATAAGTGTAGGAGAAAAGCCCTCCCGTTCAAAATGACAAGGGGGACAAAAGCCCTCCCATGAAAATGACAGCGCGGACAATTGCGCTCCCGTAATAATGACTGTGCGGACAATAGCCTTCGTTAAACATTTCAGAAAGATATATTCTGCATGAGAGGAGGTTCTAGCTCACACACATACTTAGGCCAATTGCAAACAACAACAAATATTTATGTTACAATTTTAGTATGTTGAGTGGATTGGGAAAAACAGGTATTTAACATACATACATTTTTTTGTTACGGGATGGCTTTCGTCTGCCTTGTTAATTTCACGGGTGGGCTTTTGTCTGCCCTGCCATTTTCACGGGAAGGCTTTTGTCCGCCTTGTCAGAACAGAACAGAACAGAACCTTCTCTCTATTTGGAAGACACATATTACAAAATATTTAATTCTGTAATAACATGTGTGCAAATTAATAAACAAAATTTTAAGCAGTGGGAATGGTCAGTTCATAACTGAGAAAAAATTAACATACAAACAAAGTAATAATGAAATAAATATTGATTATGAATAGTGCTATTACTACATCTAAGATGATATCATATCCAAAACTTGTGTTTCATTTTCTTTTCTTTGTATGAATGGTGTTTTTTTTGTTTTACCAATGTGATTCGATTGATATGAAAGTTGTCACTGGATGGACAAATTTTATAGTAAAAATATAATTAAGACTGGTAGATTTAGTATTAAAGAGAAACGGAAACTAAAATAGAAGGAAAAATGAAAATAATAATGATAAAAAGTAGTTGCGTAGTATTAATTAAATTTACATTTCAATAGTCATATAAGCATTTTAAACATATAAGACAATATCATGGTACATGAAAAGTATTGAACTGATTCAGTAAACATGCGGGTCATAATCATTATTGGACGGGAGGGCTTTGGTCCGGGGAGGCTTTTATCCGTTCCCCAAAAATTATGGCATTAAGTAAATTTAAACAGCAGTTTTAACATTTTATTTGCTTTATGTTAAAGCTTAAAATTATTATTATCTTTTTATTTATTGTAATTATATTTTATTAACCAGTATTTAACTGTCAGTATAAAAATAATACCACTTGAAATGCAAATTTATAGAATTAATTTATAGAATTAGGTTTAATTTAAATATGTTTTACCTGTAATGGATAATTAAATGCATTGTTTTAAAAGCTAAAGGTTTTTTTCAATACATAACTTTATATTTTATTTTTTTCTAGTATTCAAACGGGAAAATCATTGTGATAATTCTGGCTGAATTAATTTAGTTTGTAACAAATCAAGAAAGAAAAATATTTACCTTAGGGGCAATTCCTCAATTCCAATATTGAAAGAGAATAAATACATTGATTCTAAAACAATCCATATACTGTGATTATTCAGTGTTCAAATATGAAATGCTTTCATATTTTTTAAAATTGTAAAAATAAATAATTAAAATATTTCCGTGAAATAAATAAATAAATTTGATAGCTCTATTCGCGATTTCATTATTAAAATTGTAATAATTTAATTTAAATGAATTTAAAGGGAATATATGTATATAAGAGGAAAGTGTTCAATGAACACAACCACCACACGACCCAGCAACAAGAACCAGCTGCAAGGAGCCCAAGAGGACCCCAAACAAAAACAGGACAGGGCACAAGGGATGGCACGGACAGGCTTGTCAATAAAATGTTATATAAGAAATAAAAGTAACCGACAAGATAATCAAACTAAAAGAAATCAAATAAATGATTGATTAATAGGCCCACTAAACAAAAGGGCACAGGGGAAGGGGGATAGGAAATTAGCAAATATTTCTGAACAACATATCTTTAAATCATAGCAGCAAATCTTTCATAACAGCACATCGTTATTATCAACAAATCTTTCACAACAGCACATCTTTCATAACCTGCATATTACAAAAGACATGTTTGAAAATATATTTCTTAATACTAGAAATGTGTCATCATGCCACGGATGCCCCCGCATGCAGCCAAAATTTCAGATGATGTAATATTTATTTCCAAATTTGTTTGCAGAAATTATTTTTTTTTTCATTTTAAGTTCAAAGCCCTCAAAACTTTTCAATGTTAACACAATCCATTTTTATACAATATTGAAGGCAATTATTCAGTCTTAACCTTTTGTAAATTGCATATTGCATATTTGTAGCCAAAATAATGGCTACATACATTTCAACAAAAGTATGAGTGCTGAAAATTCAAAAATTTTCCAACATTCAGGAAAAATAAGTTTGTCCAAAATCATTGAACCCCGACGAAATTCAAACTTAAACTGCTTATTCCTAAGATGTATCTATATGTTAAATTTGAGTTAAATGTGTACAACCATTGAGGAGATAATGAACGGAAACTTAAAATTTCTGATTTTTTTCAAAGTTCAAGAGGGATAACTCTGCCAGCTATCATCAAACCATGAAAAAATTCGAAATTGACTAATGCATTCTTATAACATATCCATATCTTTAATTTGAGTTGAATATGTACAAATGTTGGGAAGATAATAAATGGGAACTGAAAATCCTTTTTTTTTCAAAGTTAAAGGGGCATAAATCTGCCAAAAACCATCAAACTATGACAAAATTCAAACTTGGCCTGCGCATTTCTTTGACGTATCCATATGTCAAATTTGAGTTGAATGTGTAATACCGTAGAGGAGATAATGAACGGAAACTGAAAATTTCATATTATTTTCAAAGTTAAAGGGACATAACTCCTGCCAAAAAATAATCGAACCATGACCAAATTCCAACTTGACCTGCACATTCCTTTGACATATCCATATGTCAAATTTGAGTTGAATATGTAACACCGTTAGGGAGATAATGAACAGAAACTGTAAATTTCATATTATTTTCAAAGAGAAAGGGGCATAACTCTGCCAAAAATCATTGAACCATAACCAAATTCGAACCTATCCTGTGCATTCCTTTGAAGTATCCATATGTCAAGTTTGAGATGAATGTGTTGTACAATGCCAAAAATCATTGAACCATGACCAAATTCGAACTTGGTCTGCTTATTTTATTGACATATCCATATGTCAAATTTGAGTTGAATGTGTAATACTGTTGGGGAGATAAAAAATAAACGGAAACTGAAAATTTCATATAATTTCAAAATGAAAGGGGCATAACTCTGCCAAAAATCATTGAACCATAACCAAATTCGAACCTATCCTGTGCATTCCTTTGAAGTATCCATATGTCAAGTTTGAGATGAATGTGTTGTACCATTGGGGAGATAATGAACGGAAACTGAAAATTTCTTAATTTTTTCAAAGTAAAAGAGGCATAACTCTGCCAAAAATCATCGAACCAAGACCAAATTCAAACTTGACCTGTATTTTCTCATGACATATCCATATCTTAAATTTGAGCTGAATGTGTGCAACCGTTACTAAGATAATGAACGGAAACTGATGATGACGGAATGACAGAATGACGGAAGAACGGAAGGACGGAACAGGGTAACACTATATGACTCGGCCATTATATGGCAGGGGCATAATATATAAGGCAGGTTTGAGTCAATAGATATGCATACTTATTAATTTTACATCAGTATTTAAATTTTGCTACCTGCCATTATGCAACAATATGGACTTTATGACCTGCTGATAGTTAATCAATCATTTATGTAACCCTACAACACCTAGACTGAACAAGTCTTCTGCGAGCAGTTTATGTACTAACCAGACACTACTGTTGTCGACTGATAAGGTATTACATGTCTAAAATTCATGTTTATAATATACATTTCCTAGTTCAAAAATTGACAAAATTTAATGTTGTACAAACAAAGTCTTTATGCCGCCGTTTTAGAGCATTCAAATCAGCTGTAAAAGAACAAAGAATGAAGTTCAAAATTAAGTAATTTTCTTTCATAACTAGAAGATTACATTTGGAAACTCTTATTTTGAAGAGGTAATTAAATTGACCTTTATGTCAAAACTTTAGTTTCATCTTCTATCATTTTTATCAAGTTTTTTGTTAGATTCATTAGCAATTGTTCCGTTTTGCACTTAACAACTACATAAGTAAGAAATGCAAATAACTGATAGTATGTTTAAAGAAAGATTCAATACAAAACTCTCAGTCAACACCTACCTTCCAAACATGCAGGATATTTGCATACAAATGGCAATATTCCACCAGCATCATACATCATTACTTCATTCTTTGGATCAACAGCAGTGGCATTACCACCCATCAAGTCAGGTTGGCCATTACCCCATCTTGGTATCATTTCTAATGGAACTTCCCCTCCCAAAATCTTCCATTTGTCATCATCAGAATCTTTCAATAGACCTAGCAAGATAAATGTTATTGTAATGCACATTAAACAGCTTTACAAAGCATTAAAACGTAATGTGTAATAGCAATTAGTATTCATCGCCTTTTGAACATGGTTCGAGATTTGTTTGAGATATGTTCGTAGCAGCTATCATTTATCTTAAATCTTTTAGTCACTTTTTCCAAACCAAATGGACTCTGTCTCCTTTTACGCAAATGTGAAAAATGTTTTGATTTTGAGGATAAATGCAGGGGCCCAGAACATTTATATTGTTACGTTTTTACATGTGCTATATACAAAATAGATAAAAGATTAACATATGTTGCTACTTACCAAACCAAATTTTTTTAGGCAGCAGCTTTGCAACATAATCATGATATTCAATTTCATCTCTAGGGTAATATGGCGCACTTCCTTGTCTGAAAATATTATGTACATTACATTTCAATGAACTATCAATAAAAATTTAGGCAGTGATTCTATTACTTACATGGAACTATAAATTTTCAATCTTCAACCAGATGGATACAATAAGAAAATTAAATCTGTTCATAGTTTTTTTTTCCTGATTTTTACTTTCATTGTTAAACACCTTTTTGGTCCCAGCTGTTGATCCACCTTACCAGCATTCCTTTATAACTATCCAATTATAACCTTTTCTTCGCAGCGGACAACCTACTAATTCCAGACATTTTTCTTTATCAGTGCGGCTGCGATGAGAGACTAAAATGTCTTAAAGAAAGCCCTTGGGCTTGGAACCAGCAAATCCAGGACGCTCCCTACTGTATGGTAGCTAATTTGTGGCATGACGTATTTTCGCTCGACGCGGCGCCCGACAAAACACAAAAATAAGACAAAGTGGCTTTTTGCTCCGTGTGGCGCCCGACAAAATAACAAAAATACAACAATGTAACCACTTTATCTTATTTTCGTGTTTTTGCCAAGCACCTCTCAGAACGAAAAAAGACAAAGTTGCTGCTTTGTTGTATTTTCGTGTTTTTGTCGGGCGCTCGGTGGAGAGAATGACCACTTTGTCTTATTTTTGTGTTTTTATCTGGCGCCCTGCAGAGCGAAAATACGACATATCACAAATCAGCCACCAAAAAATAAGGATCTACATTTGAAGAACTTGATATCCCCATATCTGTGGAAGAGATTGGTCTAGCATCTAAATGTTCAGGAAGTAATAAAGCTTGTTCTGTTGATAATATTTATATGAATACTTTACATCATGCATAAATAATATTGTGAAACCTTTAAAATTCTTGATAGTAGATCTTTCCCGAAAAAAAGGTCATCCGGTATTATTATTCCATTTAAATAATCAAAATGCTGAAAGCACTAAATGCGACGACATGATGAAAAGGGAATCAAAAAAGGATCAAACTTCAGTCATGTTGCACCAAATATTTCTATTTTTACAATGGGCAGTAAAATTCTATGCCTGAGTTTGTTCGGGCTTTGATAGAGACCTTCAATTATGATCTCAAGACATGTATGAGGTATCATGTGAATATTTTCTGTGTTATGTATGCAACATATTACATGTATATAATTTATATCTGACCAGTTGGTATTTCCAATATTATCATTGTTCTATTTTTAGAACATAAACTACATGTATGTACTAGAACTTTCTTAACTGTTGTAGAAAACTCATGCATTATATTTAGATAGAAATTTCCGGAATGATCTTTATTGTTGAAGTTGCTAGATTATGATTACTGTAGAAAATGGAAGACTATTCTAGAAACTTCTTAGCTTAATATATATATAGGAGACATTTTTTCTTTCGTATCACCTTTTGAGTCATCAGTGATCTTTTAAGTCATCAGTTACCTTTTAAGTCATCAATATATTTGGAGTATTATTCAACTTGGATATTAAGTGATTTATTGGAGCCTGGATTATTTAAAAATAGTTAAAATTATTCTAATGGATTTTATTGTTGGAATTTATTCTAAAGTGTTCTTGGATTTAACGTGGATTTAACTGTGCAATTCAAAAAGGGATCATTCCAGGATCAGACAAGACATTTGAGATTTATATTTTTATTTGGATTTCAGGTATTTGTAAAATAAATTGTTCTTTAATTTTTCTTAAATAATTTTTCTGTAATAAATTTGTTATTGTTACAAGTTTGTTGCTGGCTTTTCTTTCTCGTTACGCTTGGCTCGTAACATCTGTTTTCTATCGAAAACTACTGATGTTATATGTTTCGGAATTAAATGAATACCACCAGTATATACATTAACAACTTATTTGCCTGCAAAGCTGTAACATAGAGTGTTCTTACCTAAAAAGGCTTTTACTCTGTTGTTTTTGAAAATTGATGATATACAATTTAACTTAAATTACCGAGGTAATTTGGCATGACAGGACTGGAAATAATTTTTCAATTAATGTTCCATAACTATAGGTCTAGCTCAATCACTTGTATTTCAGATCATGCCCCTCTCTGTTTTCCCAGAATAATTATTCCAGTTGTGGAAAATGACCCAAAATTGAAAAACATTTTAACGCCTTTCCTTCAAATCAGGCTAAGAAAACCACAAAGTATGATTTTCATTTCATTTCTGATGTTCTTTTATAATTATATTGTGCTTATATTCCTGTTTTAAGAGCCTAAGCTGATCTAAGGAAGAAATTCATTTTCCGTTTTAGGCCTTTGGGCCTCAATGACTATTTGACCAAGAATTTTCCGAGCTAACAGAAGGCTAATGATCAGTCAAAATCAATGTGTAATGGTCCTTCGATAAGGATCTCTATTTATGGTAACAAAAAATGCATTCAGATTTAAGTAAATACCTTCAGTAAGTTCACAAAGGACCATAATTCAGTAGAATCCCCCCTCAAAAGTTACGAGTTTTGGATAAATTTTGTTTTGTAAAGTGACATCCAATTATGATCCCGAAGACCTTCAACACACATGATCACTAATCTTCAATGATATAACATTATCAATATTAATCAAAAATTAATTTGGCTCAAAATCGTCAATTCTGTCTAAACAATTGTATTGCATCTCCTATTACGGAAGATTTCAAAGTATTTGTGAAGTTACAAACAAATAGTTTAGTGGTTCATCATGAAATAAAATCCTGTGTGCCCAAAAAATTGCGGTAAAAGGTTGTTATATGTACCTTAACACTAGAACATTACGAATTTCAGACAAAAAAGGGAAGAATTTACTTTTTCGCTGCATCCGCCAACTTAGCTTAAGGTCTTCAGCGTACCCGTTTATATACAATGACATGACGTGAACGCTGAAGATAACCCCGTAGGGAAAGTCCACCAATAATCGTGCCAGGAATCTGACACGCTCGTATTTATTCATCGAACATGCCATGAAGTAAAGTGAAGCATACCTTGATAAAACTATATATAATCTGTTGATCAGCCAAGGATGGACAAATAAAAATCTTATTACATATTACTACCTAATAGTTTCCGACAGGTAAAGATTTCGGCACTTGGCCGCCATATTGCCAAAATTTTTGAAGAGGTGATTACGAGATTGACCTTTATGAACCCATGTGCCTCCAATATTTTTATAAATTACTTTTTTAAAGATATTGAAAAAGGTGATTTACTGACTTTTATATTCAATAAAATCATATTTAAGTTTTAAAAAATAAATGAAAATAAATAAAAACATTATCTTGAATAAAAATATCATGTCAACAAAATGTTCTAAATATAGTACACGACTCTATTCAAATCGTTCCCGCGAATGACGTCATACGAGGTCTCGCGTGGCACCTGAATGTCATGGCCGACTGTAGTCGGCGTAAATTGATGTTTTATAGTTAAATAGGCAATTTTAATGACGGTATTAATATTTTGATACTTTAATTGGTATAGAACGATATTAAAATAACTGTTTTATCGTAAAATGCAAAAGAATTGATTGGGTCAAGTGTTTTTGCAAATGAAAAACAAGAATAAATCAACTTGTGTTATTCTGGTTAGGTTTCGTAACGGGTCTAATCCAAAACTTTAATGCATCAGATGAAAAACAAAAATGTTAAATAGCGGCTTATAAAGTTTTGGAAGCCAGAACTACCGCCTACTTGTTAGTTTGGGTAACGAACGGCGTGATTCTCCCGTGTGCATGCAAATTTGGACTAAAAAGGACCAGAAGTCCACTGATTATAACTGAACCGGAACATGCTTAGCGTAGGGAACGTGTTACAATATCGCGTTTTCCGGTTACAGTATAGAATTTTAAAGATGGAGGATTATTTATGGGAAGGGGGGTAGGGGATTTTTATTCAGGTCCATACTACAAGTATTTTAGATTCTAAAAGATGTTTTTGTGCATTGCTTGTAAGGAACAGGATCCCGAATCTAGTCATATATTTCTTCAGACCCTGCACCGAAGATTTATCTCTATATATTGTCTCATAAATGTGCAGATTGGACGGTTTGAAAATTTGAATCGAGAGACCAACGTATTTTTCTCCCATTCCGTTATCATTTAAGCATGTTCGTTAAATGCGTTTTAAAAAAAAACAAATGTTACAGTATAGATTGAGGTTATTTGTGTTAGGTTACAGCATAGACCGAGCGACTTTGATTCACTTTTGTTACAGTTTATACCCAGGCTTCGGTTACAGTTTAGAAACTTGCCAAATTATATATCCATTATTTTTATGAAATAACTTTCTACTTCATACATTCTTGAAATGTTGTATTATTTTTTCTCTCCAGCAGAAAAGTTATAGTTTGCTATTTTCCTTACTTTAAGTTTCAGATTTGGGATTTTTTGCACAATAAGTAATGTACTAAGTAAGGACTGTTTTCACAAAAACAACAGTAACTTTTATCAAATTGTATGGAGAGAAGAGAGATTTTTGCTTGATTCCATTACACATAATAATAATGCCTATTAGTAATAAAATAAAGAAAAAACAGAATCCTTAACAAAAGTCCAACACGGAAAACAAGAAAATATTGCAGGCTCAATTTGATTGAGCCTGTTCATGGACGGTAGTGGTAATTGCAAGCTACCATCCACGCCTCCTAGCACCGGCTTCAGCAGAATTCACATTAAATAAGAACTAGTAAACTTTAGATTTTTATAACATCGGTGAATGTGTTCATATGGCGGTTATCATGGAACCTTCAATGTGACACCCCCGGTGGATCCGTGGCCCCTTAAGCCCCCAGTGAATCCGTGGCAGTTATTATCACATAGGTATAATTGATATTAAAAAAATCACATACATGTAAAGAAAAGGTCAATTCAACTTTATTTCTCTATTTAATATGTTCAATTTGATATAGCTAAACAACTATTAATAAATATTTTAATAACGTGTGCGAATCGTATTCGTCTAGAATATAGATCGAGATCAAAAATGACAAAATTTATCACACCGTACAATCAAATGGGCAGACAGCTGTTCCAGCGTCC